ACTGGGATTGGGTGGAGCGATCCAATCCCAATACCCGGTATTGGGTCTTTTTTCGATCCGATCCCCGATAAATACCAATCCGGGGATCAGATCAAATACACTCTGGATTATACCAAAGCATGAGGCACGCAGCCCGCAGCTTTTGGTTGTTGGATTGGGATCCCAATCCGATACCATTTTGATCCGTTACCACGGGATTGGATCGCACTAGCAATCCAATATTGTCCTTTGAACAAAGCTTGGACAAACCTAAGTTTTCCAAGAGCTAAAGTTATGTCATTGTGCTGCTATACAGCAGTTTAAGCTGCTGGTTTTTGCCACACAGCTCTTGTTTCATTTGCCTTGCTGTGATCAAGCAGGTATCAGCACCCTAGCCAACCACCACCAACACCAACCTCCCCCCCCCCCCCCCCCCCAATTATCCTGGCATCAATCCTGACCAAGACATCCATGGGCAATTATTTGATCGTACAAGGCATCCAGCAAGGTTCATGTGATTCTAATGGCACTTTAATGATCTATGGTTTGAATTCAGGCCATCGAACAGTTGCTTGATGTTCCGATTTCTCAGTGGCGGTTTTGTCATGCAAAGTCCAATTGACCTCGTTTTTACAGCATTCAAACAGCAGCTAGCTACTGGCCTTGCAAGTCTTGGACCAGACCAATTTCCCGGTGGCAGAATTGGTAATTGGACAATTGATCACAGATTTTCTGTTAGTCAATCCTTTGGAAAAGGCTTACAGAAAGTGTGAGTACTGTGTCCCATCATTAAACTAACAATTCAAGTCATTTTCATCTTTGTTCTCTTACTGCAGATTTTCTCACTGTAATACCCAAATCCCATACTGCTTTTAGGGCACCGACTACCTTGCCTGGATTGTTTATCTTGCATTATCTCCCCAACAGTATATAATGAAAACATCCAATAACCATAGGTCAACCTATCAATGCTAATCTTTTACTCAAAGTTTCAATTCATCTGCATTTCTTTTCATGGTTTGGATTTTTCTACTTGTCTTGTCCTTATGAATGAAAAAATCACTGTTAACTAGCAAATTAGACTCTCTTTTCCTCTCTCAGAAATGTAGTAATGAAAAAGACTTTGAATCAAATCAAATTTGACAGCTGAAGAGCAATTGATTGCCACTCCTTCAGGCTTCTTGTAGCTCAGTGATCCAAAGGAGATTAACACTGATGCAACAAAACTAATTTGACCTTTAATCCAAAATCATACTGAACAAAATTTCAAGCTCTGAGCTTCAAACAAGTGCCATTTCTGGATGGAGTTATTCTAACAACTGACTCCAACTCTACTCTTCAGATTGACCACTCTTGAAAAGGCTTGCAACTCATTGATGACAACTACAAGACTGCTTATATTCATCTCACCCAGTTGGCTTTGAACATACAATTTGCTTTGTGTTGATCTTCCTGATCACAACAGGTAACAAGGATGATAGGAAATAAGGTATGGTAAATGGGATTGAACTGGGTAAGAAGCAGGATAAGATATTGTTCAAGATTAACATCATATCATTGTGTGAGGTGGAACAATGACTGTACAGAAGGGACAATGCAAAGCCAATAAGAAACACTATTGGTCCCAATGTCAAAGTGAGAATACCTATCAGGACTTAGGAAAGCATTAGGCTGATTACATGGATCCTCCAGAATTTGAAACCAATAAGTAACCTGATGATCTTTTAACCCTTCCAAGAAACTCGTTCGTTCCAAGAAGCTCGTTTGTTTCCTAACTGTGCAATCGATCAAATTATCGCGCTGACAATGCTATTATCTGTTGGTCGTTTTTGGTGGTTTTGGGGGGGTGGATTAGAGGTACACACCTGGATTGTGAATCTGCATCAATCAAGGCTGCTGTGGCAAAGGTGATGACTGGCTTTGAGACGGCAGAAATAAAATAAAAATTCAAACTTAAACAATGAAAATCCAGGATTTTCAAGTGAAGATGCTGTGAATCTGTCCAAGCATTCTTCAAAACACAATACCTTATTTTTCAATACCTGGTATCAAAAAAACAATCCGATCCGATAAATCAGCCAATACCATATCAGATTGGATTGGTTTCATTGTTGCATCCAGTATGTAAGCCTCTTTGACAAGACTGGGCTGCCGCCCAGACCTGCCCACAAACGACTCTTGTCACAAGAGGATTAGTTAAGCTCTAAGACCATCTCCACCGCACAGAGTCATCTGAGTTGGTAAATTTACAAACTCGGGGACTGCGGTGGACGGATAGCAACCCTCAGAAAAAATATTTTCCACCGCAGGGTGCTATCCACACTCCTGGTATGTGAAAGGCCCTCCCACAGAGGGGGGGGGGGGAGTCCGGATTTCACCAGGATGACCCTGTGATACCATTAGGACGGTTCACATTTCAAATTTTTTAGCAATTTTTTTATTTGAAGTTAGCAGAGGGAATTGAGATCTCACGTTTAAAATTAGCCTGCTGCCAGTGCAAGTTTGGACAGAGTTTCGAAATCAGCAAGCAGAAAATTTATTACAAGTTAGCAGTGGAAAGTGTGAAATGTGAACCGGGCTATTGGGTTGGTATAGCGATTGCACATCTAGCAACGCTATACAACTCGAGGGGGGGAAACTATATTTACCTCCCCTTTAGCACCCCCGGTGGCAGGGGAATTTTGGGCTTGGGGAGGTAAATTTAGCTTACCCGCGCAGTTTACCTCCCCGGGTGGAGATGGTCTAAGACCATCTCCACCGTTGGGGACTACCCGAGTCCCCAAATTTCCACCTCGCGCGACTGCGGCGCGCTTTTAGCTCCCCTGGCAAAGACCCTCTCACACCGGGAGGGTCTACACATAGCACCTGAACTCGTGAAAGGGCCTTCCCCTGTGTCCCCCGATTCCCCCTAGACCTCAGCTGTGTGTGATCGCAACAAAAAATCATAAACAAGGTTCAACTTCCACAATTCAACATTGACATGGAAATTGATCCCGTTATACTCCACATCCTCATCCGGCGACGCCGACTCATGGCTAGGAAGAAAATGGAACTCACGGCGATTCTAGAGGTTACACCTCTCTTACTTGATGATGACGATGAATCCGAATTAATTCAACCTGTCCATGGAGGATCCAAACCAGGGAAAAGGCCTAATCGACCCAGGGATTTTGAGGGTAGCTATCAAAGGCTCCAAAACCAGTACTTCTCGGCGAATCCACTTTACGATGATGAAATCTTCCGGCGAAGGTTCCGAATGGCTAGGCCTCTATTCTTGAAGATTCTTGAGGCGGTTGAACAGCACGACAATTACTTTCAACAGAGACCGGATGCTTGTGGCAAAATGGGACTCCGGCCCATCCTGAAAATCACAGCGGCGTTGCGTATGCTTGCCTATGGAGGTGCGGCCGATTGCAACGACGAATATCTCCAACTATCAGAGACAACTTCACTACAGAGCATGTATAGATTCTGCAACGCAATCGTAGCTATCTATTCCTCTGAATATCTCCGACACCCAACCACATCAGATTTAGAAAGACTCCTAACCATTGGTGCCAAGCGAGGATTCCCTGGGATGCTTGGCTCACTTGACTGTATGCACTGGACATGGAAGAACTGCCCAGCCGGTTGGGCTGGACAATTTCAGGGGAAAGAAAAGGTTAGTTCATGCTTTGTTGCTTTATTTAATACATGTGTCTTAATCATCCTTTATTCAATGCAGGTTCCAACGGTCATCTTGGAGGCTGTAGCGTCAAGCGATTTGTGGATATGGCATGCCAACTTTGGCATGCCCGGATCTCACAATGACATCAATGTATTGGACTCCTCGCCGCTCTTCAGGAATCTACTCAACGGCGAGGCCCCGAAATGCGAATATCAAATCAACGGTAACACCTACGAGCAAGGGTATTACCTTGCAGACGGTATCTACCCTGACTGGGCGACATTCGTGAAAACACTCTCTCAGCCGGAAGGCTTGGATGAAAAACACTTCGTTAAAATGCAAGAGGCGAGAAGAAAAGATGTTGAGCGTGCGTTTGGGGTGCTCCAAGCTTGCTTTGCAATAGTGTCTCGTCCGGCGCAAGGTTGGAAACACCACAATTTATCCAGCATAATGAAATGTTGTATCATCCTCCATAACATGATAGTGGAGGATGAAAGGGATACTTATCTTCAATACGAATACGACAATAACACCTCAGCAGTAATTACGCCGGTGGAGGTCACACGAGAGGGGAGGCTTACCTTTAATGCTTTCATAGAAAATTATGAATCTATGAGGAGTTCGGAAACTCATCATCAGCTGCGAAAAGATCTTATCAAGCATCAGTGGGAAGTGAAGGGGCGCAAGGGTCGTGGAGATTTATAATTCAAATAGTTCATGTTTTGTTTTCACTTCATCTTTGTGGTTTCGGTTTCAAAACTATCACCAAACAGGAATCATGTAATGGAATCAAATCTCAGGAGAACAAAACAATGTAGTCATTTATAGTCAGGAGAGAGGACAAGAGAGCAGAGAAACATTTATTGATCTCATCGATCAGGACAAGAGAGCAGATAAAGAGCGATAGATCTGAGGAGAGAGGACAAGAGAGCAGACAAACATCGATAGATCTGAGGAGAGAGGACAAGAGAGCAGAGAAAAATTGATTGATCTGATCGATCAGGACAAGAGAGCAGATAAACATCGATAGATCTGATCAATCGGTTGTTAAAGCTGAGGTAGGAGAGACAAGGTTGTAAAAAATATAGAGAAAGAGAACGGTCAAAGAGAAACATCAATTGATCTGATCAATCAGTTGTTAAAGCTGAGATAGGAGATAGGAGAGACCGAGTCTTCAAAAATAGAGAATGGTGAATCGATCCGATCAATCAGTTGTTAAAATTGAGGCGAGTCAAAAACAGAGACGACCGTTGATTGATCCAATCGATCAGTTGTTTTCAAAGTCAGGAGAAAGGGATAGTCCAGGCAATAGCTTGAGATCGTTGAGATTATCATTGAGATTGTTTGAGAGAGGCTTTCATCGACAGATAGGATAGACAATCAATTGAGAGTGGTGTTCCTAGCATATAGAACAATCAGTTTATTGTATTAATGTTGTTTCAACAGTCAGGAGAGAGGAGGTTGTACCTGAGATAATACTTGTGATTTAGCTTTGTCGGAGTGAAGAGAGAATTTGAGCTCTTTTTAACTTGAAATATTCCCTCTGTTCATCATCAAGACCTTCAAGGTCCTGGTTCATGATGGCCAGCTGAGCAGCGACTTTACCATTTTCCGCAATTTCCTTGAGAGATTGTGAGTCTGTATCGAGGATATCGTTATTGCGCTTTGATTGAGAGGCAATATCCACATGGGCTTGAGCAACATTCTCCTTCCAGGCGCTATCCTTCATGGCTAGTTGTTGAGCCATCTTTGCCTTCTTCTTTCCCATAGGCCTCTCAAGGGTTGAAACATCTTCCGGAGTGCCCTCAAAGTCGGAGACGGCATCGGATGGTACTGGCGTTGATTCATCGGGGGCAGTCGATGCTGGAGCAGTTTAAGGGGCCTCTTCGCTTGGGCTTCTTGGTCGTTTTTTCTTAGAAGTGACCCTTTTTTGCAGGTCGTGAGTGTACAAGTTCCATTTGGGACATTTGACCAACATATTGTAGCAACGAAGATGCTTGAAGTGCATTTGGAGATCATGCGGGTATAGTCGAAGAGCTCGGTTTAAGTGATCTTTGGCAGACTGACCGCTCTGATTCAACAGTTCAGCTTGATGCACGCAACCATGGAATTTGTTGATCCAGCGTTGCAAGATTCCCCATTGCTTTTTGGTGCTGTCAACTGGTCGAATGGGAGTTGGAATGGCCTCATGGTAAGCGGTTGTGACCCTTTGCCAAAAGGTGTGCCCGTCTTGGTGTGTTCCGACCGCGGGATCTTCAGAGATTCGAATCCAAGCTCGACACAACTCGTAATCCTCTGGCTCGGTGTAATTTGGGGCCTTCTTTTTCTTGGTGGATGATGGGTCAAGATCTGGATTGACTGTAGTTAGAATGTAGAAGTTTGGATTATCAGAATAATGATGAAAAAAAGGATGAAGAAGAGAGAAAGTGCTGACTGAGCTCGTTTTCAACTTCAATTCTTTCATCATCTTGTTCGCGTTGTGAGGTCATGTTGGTGTGTGATCGTGTTGAGGAGAAGTGTTGAAGTGTGAAGTGTCGATGTCTGTATGAGGACAAGGTATGTCCGGGGGATATGTCTTGTGTGGGGGGCAAGCAATATCACATGGATTTTCTGTGATATGGCCGATAGGCACTTGATGGCGAGTGCCTATATGGTCCTAAATTTAGGTTGCCTATAGCTCCCCGGGCCGGTTTTCCTAAATTGGAACCGCATTTAGCGCCTCCGGTGGAAGGCCTAAATTGTGTTTGGGGGACTAAATCTGGTTTAGTCCCGCGATTTAGTCCCCCCGGTGGAGATGCTCTAAGTCCCTCCCTGCGGGAGGGGTGGCTTCGCCACCAGCCAAACTTAGGCACCACCCAAATCCAACCTCCCGCACAGGGAGGACTTTGTTAAGTTAGCCGTAATGACCACTCCAATAGCCCCTTCACAGAGCACACCTTTTCCATGCAGTGTACTCAACCGATCTTCCTCGCCACTCGAGATTTTGGAATTGGTATCACCGAGTGCAGGGGCTCCTGGAGTCCTGCCCAAGACCAATGCATACATCGCTATGAGAGCATAGCTCGGTACTTCGCCCCGCTTTTTGGCAGTGCAACCGGTTCGAGTTAATTAGATGATTGAAACCCCTCTTGTCATTGGTGGATAATAGGCACCAGCCTCACTCTTTAATAACCTGCCCGCCGATCAGCTGGCTTTGATAAGCGCGTCTCAAATGCTGTGCACTTGAATTCGACGGTCAGAGAGGGGGGCTCATCTATCTTGCCAGTCATTAAAGCGCTGATTTGAGTGCGGCTCGTCGTTGATCCGGCCAGGACAACACACTGGCTCAACGAATTTCCATCGATCCCTCCTGCCGTGCACAACGTTACGTATGTAAGCGGTGGCTAACCAAGCAAATGTTGAATTCGTTGCTGACCGGCTTATAATCACAAGATCATCCATCTTCAGGCGCTGTTTTTCGATGGCCGTGGTCTGAGGGAAACCTTCGAGTGATTCTCTTTAAACTCATTTTCAGCGTCACATCGGATTTCCTCCTACTTACAGATGTCAGCCGTTCTTGATTGCCGATAACAGATGTTGAATTCCATGAGGGGAGGATTATTAAAGATCGTGAAAAGACAAGAAAGGTCATGCTGGCGCCGCGCTGTGTGATCTTGGCTTTATTGCTGCAACTTGATAAACGGTTATGGGCCTGTAAGCCATGACGACTCACGAGAAACAAACTCGGAATTAACTTTACTCTTCAAGCAGGGACGTGAAAGACAAAATGATCGAACACGTCATGCTCGTCATCGGCTTCAGCCTGTTCCAATCGTACTCGATCTTCAAGCGTATGTAGCGCTTCAATAAGCCATAACGGTTTGAGAAGCCAAACTGGAATCTGGATTATACAGGATCGGGCAGCTAGTGAGTCATTCCCCTCGTGCTGCTCACCAGTGACGACTCGTCTACAAAAACTCCTCTCTGTTTCCCCTCTTTCTCCCTCTCAGCCATCACCCATTTCCAACTTGAAAGCTCATCGAAAACCCATCCATCAAACGTAAGTTCCACTATCTTTACCCTGTTACATTTGTCGGGCTTTCGCCATTTCCGGAACGTTTGCCTCCATCCTGTAGACTCTTCCCCTCGCCCCTCTGCAGCTAGCCCACTTGATCGTTAGAGTTTCGCTTGACTTCTTAACCTCTAAGTTTTCGATGTCTTATCACTGCGGACTTTGTCTTGTAGAGAGTTTATGAGAGAATAATCCGTTACACCTATTAGCGATACTGGTTTGCTGATTCTAGTGTTTCTTACCTGATGATCAACACCTTGAAATCCCGCAGTTTGTGTGTATAAAAGTCCCAAAACCCCTAAGCCTTCAAGATGCAAACTGCTAAAGACGCTATGAACGTAAGTGATCTACCTTCCTTGTTTTTACTTCGTAGGATAATGTGATGGTTGCTCAGTTGACCATTGACGTATTTTACCCACTACAGTACGTTTCGGACAAAGCCTCTGAGCTTACCAACACAGCTTCCAAGGAGGCCAACAAGGATGTCGCCAAGGACTCTGACAACAGCCTCTCTTCCCGGGCTAGCGCTGCTACGGTAAGCGGCTCGTCATATTAATCTATGGCGGAATAGAGTAGCGGGATGCTGACGTTCCCGATCATCTGCAGGACGCTATGGGAGACAAGGCCAGCGAAATGAAAGACGGTGCATCTGCTGAAGCCCATAAGGTTTGCACTCTTGATCTAGCTCCTCCACATGATTGGTCTCGGGTACTGATTTTACCCTGTTGTTATATTCAGCAAAAGGCACAGCACTAAATGCGATCTCCTTAGATGGATTTCTTCGAATAAGATCACCTTCTGAAAAACTGGGGCCTGCATGTGTAGAGCGTACATAGCTTCCGACCAGTTGTACTGTAGCTCAAGATACTCATTGTTTTCACGTTCACCTTCAGAAGTAATCACTTATTTCATTTACAACGCTTCTAACACTGAAAACAATGAGCCTTTGCTGCAATCATTTCTTTGCTCCATTTTCGCGGGTCGCCTGTTGCGATAAGTGAGGAGGCATGTAGACCATTTGTCTTTGTTGTCCATCCAACGGTGAGCCTCGAGAGTTTTTCAATTAGCGGTTCCTCCCGAGCGCTTCAGCCAAAACTAGAAACGTGTTTGCTTGCCTTCTACCTTGATTCTTCAATTCGTTGCTCACTTGTTACTCAGTGGGACCTAGTATGGGTTTTCACATAATATCGCGTTACCAGTGCATCTCTGGCTGTTTATTCTGGATGACTTCATAAATTTAATAGGCAAGCCATACTTTCGGCATGACTCCTTGATGGAATATAGTACCCTTCTCATTATTTTATAAAATGGACTCGAACCCTGTGCAAATGACCTCTGCTTCTGGTGGTCCTTGAATAAATGATCATTTCCACTTAACATTAATTTTAACATATTCGAACTCTTGGATCGCTTGTAGTCGATCAATCTGATGCATCCCATTAAAATATATACAACCTCGAATCCCATGTAACTCGCAAGCAGTAAGTGGGGCTGAAATATGATTAGAATAAGTAGAAATGAAGGCACTACCCCCATAGCGCGACTGTTGTTTGCCGTTGTTCTGAGACCATTAATGGACGATTTACTAAGATGATCGGGTGTCGGTTAAATTTCCGTTTCCGGATCACCTGTTGACTCGACATTAGCTGTTTGTCTGCCCCGATGGCTTGTCTTGCGGTTGTAGAATGATATGAAGATGAACGCACGGATTGTGGCATGCGGCTCCGGCTCTGCTGTAGAGATATGGCATGCACAAGTGATGATGCATGGCTGGACAAACAGTCCATTGAGCCAACAGGCATTTTCGCAAGGCCCAACGGGTGAACATCGCCTAATATGTATGTATGTATGTGCTCGGTCCGACTGGATGGTTTGCTCTCCGCCAAGCTATCTACCAAGCTAACCCTCGGTTAATGAGGCTCAATTTCTACTGCTGACTTTCCCTGACTTGCTGAATTCGGGTCAATTAATGAAAGTTGTGTTGAATGAAAACTGCCGAGTCGGAATGGGTGATCGATCGGATTAAGTAATCTTTTGGCGACCAGCTGAATCCGGTGACTGTTCTTTCTTTTCGTGATGGGCATGCGCATGTTGTTGGACTTGCGTCTGCAATGCGAGCCAGAACAATGCACGAGCTTATGTACCGGAACAGAGTAGAGAGGGTGAAAGGGAACAGCGGGGGAAGAGGGCCAGAAGGATTCAGCAAGCTCACCGATCACCGATTTCCAAATACGTCATCGCAGCCATCTTGATCATCTTGCTTGTTGCCCTTAAGCGATCCATCGATTTTCATACCCGCACTGTAGTCATAGCGAAGAGGCGGTTGGATCAGCCAAACCCGCTTGGCCAGTCAGCCAGCCGAGAGTTAATTTGCAGGATGGCTTACTCTTCTGGCCCACTCGGCTGACTGCCCTCTCGTCTACAAAACCAGAGCCTCTGAGCCTCCTTCCTACCCTCCTCCCCCCCTCACCAGCCATCACTCATCTGAAAGGTCAACAGAAAACAAAAACCATCTACATCGTACGTCTCTCCTACTCACTCGCCCACCTCGCTCCCCTCTCCCCGTGACAGCAGATGTCCCTTGCCCCCTATATCCTTCCTCTCAGTAACTAGTGACTCAGTCGAATCAGTCTGATTCCACGGGAGAAGAACTCACAGCTTACTCCCCATTCTCCTTTCCTCTGTCTTTCCTGCCAGCCAAATCCTCAACAAACCTAGAAAAACAAACTCAAGATGCAAACCGCCAAAGACGCCGTTAACGTCAGTCTCCTACTTTGGTTTATCTTGATGACTTCCTCCCTCCACAAGCGCCTCTAACCCCCTACTCTCCTATGATGCAGTACGTTGCCGACAAGGCTTCTGAGCTAACTAGCACTGCCTCGAAGGAGGCCAACAAGACCGTGGCCAAGGATTCGGATGCCAGTCTTAGCACTCGAGCCACTGCTGCCAAGGTATGTCACAGTTTTGATTTTATTTTCCCTTCTTTCAATGACGTATGCCTATGTTAACCGCTTCTCTTATGCCTGCAGGACGCCATTGGTGACAAGATCGACGAAACCAAAAACGGTGCTTCTGCCGAAGTAAACAAGGTGTGTTGATTTTATATTGCACCTAGAGCCTCGCCGAACCGATCCTGACTTGTTACTTTTGATTCATTGCCAACTACAGCAAAAGGCCCAAAGCTAGATGCTTTGCGCCAGCACAACCAAGTTCTGTGTCATCGTCTTGTCTTCCCGCAACGTTGGTGACTAAGAACAGCTTGTATTATTTTGTAACTCAACGTTTATTGTGACCGAGTCGAACGAAGCAATTATTTGATCTACACACTTGACATGTTTCCTGTGCGAGAGACCATTCTTGTCTCTTCACCTTTGTTTTGTCTCACGAGCAAGAATGGCTGAGTTGTCGATCTGGCGACATCGCTCGGCTGATTAGCTCTTGTTGGTCAATCCACACGGCAACCAGCTCACACTTATCACATTGTGTTTATTAACCACAGCCATGTGGTGTCGGCTTCTTAATCAGCATATCTTTCTCAGCCCCTTGGCCGAGAAGCTGTTTTAAAGTAAAGCACTCATCCAATCTAGCCTATTTCAGTTCGTTTGTTTATAGGCACAGCCCTGATGAGTGTAGTTTAGCTTTTTCCACCGTTGACTTTGGAAATAAGCTGAGATCCTCAAAGCCTCGCCGCGGGAAAAGAAAAGTTTCATTCCAGCGGCACGAGGTAAAAAGTTCATCCGAAGAGAATTTCCAAATAATAAATTGCTGGGATGTGCAAGTAAAAAGCGCAAACCAGAGAGTTCCAGATCTCACAGCCTTCAATCCAACAGTGAGCCACACGGGTTCTGGAAACCGTCTCAGAATGATTGATGAGCTCTTTGAAAAACCTTCGTGCTGCTCAAGACGACTTCAAAGTCGTTGAAAACGAGAAACACGAGTTTCGATATTCAAGACTCGTGTTGGAATCCTGCCCGAAAGAAAAACAAAATTGCTGTTAGGTGAGTCCCCTAACCATTCCAGGGTAACAGGTTGGTCATCATCCAAAAAAAAAAAAAGCTTATCATCCAGCTGGGATGAACGATTCAACCCAAGTTAAAAAAAAGCGTCCCACGTGGGTGCAAATCCAGTTTTCTATGGGGACCCATGACGCGATGAGCCTGTATTGTGCAATGATGGCTGCTCAGAGATCTCTGGGACAGCGCTGGACCAGTGACATACTGATTATTCCAAAGTATGCATGCCCGGAGTGCAGTTTGTCATATATACCGCTTATAAAAACCCGGCCTCTGGCCACCTTCAAACCGTTCTGCAAACTATCGCCCATCCCATCTCAAATTTCCACACCATCCATTGAAGGTATGTCTTTCTTTGCGGTTTTTGAAAGCCTCTGTTGGATGAATAATTTGATGCGTCTTGATGCCACCATTATCCGTGGTAACTTATTTCGTTTCAAGTTTTTACTGATGTAATCCATACACCTTGTTTTGACACATTTGCAACATTCAATTTTTCCTCACAGTCGCTTGCGTACATAACTTCCCAACAAACGCCCAAAATGCAGGACGCCAATGACGCCGCTAAGGTATTGTTTTGCAATCTTCCAAGTCGATCAAAGTAGTGGTTCTATGTATGTATGTAACGTCTTGAACTGCCTTGATTTCAGCGGATTTCGGAATCACTTGCGGGAGCGGCTAGTAGTGCTAACAAGGAAGCCAACAAGAGTGTTGCCAAAGATCCACACAAAAGTCTCTCCACTAGGCTTGCCGATGCGAAGGTATGTCGGGCCCGAATGTTCTAACTCAATCAAACACATCAAAATCCCCCCCCTTTTTTTTTTCTCTTGGGTCCACTGACGAATTTTGTTTGACAACTTTGTAAATGACGATAAGGCAGAAAACCAAAAGGTTTGTCTCCCACATTAGATGATCTTTCATCATTTATTCTGATCCTGAACTACCGGGTTGACGTAAATATCTGTGTTTTTTTGTGCTTTTCAGAAAAAAGAGAAGCACTAGGGTCCACGATATTCTCGACCCAAACTGCAATCGACGTCCTCATTTTTTTTTCCTCCTTTTGGTGATTATGAAGAGGATATGCATGGCTAATAATATCATGTACCTACATAAATAGTTCCCTCTTGTTATCAAACTTACCGAAGAAATTTTTTATCTTTTGAGATGACGTGTGTGTGTGTGTGCTTTCAAATGATGGGGAGTTTCAAAGTGTATTGCTTGAACAACCCCTAAGGGTTGTAGGGGCAACCTCAAAACTTGGATGATGTCCAGAAACCCATCTTTGGATAAGTTCGGCTTCTCAGGCTTATGCTGCTAATTGTGATGGACTGATGGCATTACAGCGATAGACTTTGATGATACGACATTTTCAGTTTGGAATGGTGATTGATTTTCTAAAACAGAGATGGCAGCGGCACACTCAAGATCAAGGAGAAAAATTGAGAAACTAGAAAGACAAAGAAACAGGAAACACCAATATGTAGATGGAGAGAGACATGAAAGAGGGAAAATATGAAAAAGAATTTTATAGGATAAAATAGACCATTGAGGTAAATAAAAAATTGATATTGATGATCACAACAAATCATCTCGGTCAGTAGTCGGTGCTAGCGGAGCCCATAATAGTCACTGGAACAAGTGAGCTATCATTGCGAAGATCTACAAATGTTGGTTGCTGCATTTCAGATATTTATGTTCCTTGATCAACTTGTGTTTCTGCATGTTTGTGGTTTTGTTCGATCTTGTGATGTCGGTCCTTTCCAATTCAGCGTCTGCCTCTAATGTATTCTCTTTTTCCTCAGCTACATAATTCAAATGCGGCGCCTGTTGAGCCCAGTTACAAAATGTAACGCAACTTGGAACGTTATCATGAATTGGAGTACATACTTTGACCGCACCATCACAGCGTAAAATATCTGCTTGATCAATGGTTGCAATGCAAGTCATCTAAAATATGACGTGTAAGATCTGCTTCCCAAGCCTTCACACTATGATCTTTCTTTTGATTCTATGTATCCCGGGTAATTGAGGTGTATCGAGTTTGGCTTCTAAAAGTTCCAGGTTTGATTGTTCAATTCTGTGTGTCGACACAATTGAACCCTTGCAAGGAACGTTATCGCGAGGTTTGTGGAATATGACCCCGCTCCTATCATATGTGTCATATGAGGACGAGTGGGTGCTCAACTTCGGGGTCATGAAAATTGAAACCCATTAATATTTGAATGCCTAGAGTGACTTAATGGTGCCACCCTAAAGTGTTTGCGATAGGAATCATGTAGATCGATGCTCCATTTCTGCAGGAAACAAACAGTTGGGATGCTTCTACATTAATAACCCCCCCTAGATATACTCAGGTAGGCGCAGCTCCATTTTGGTCCCAATTTTGTCGCAGGAACTAGCAGAAATATGGTACATTTCAGCACTCGGTGTCTGCTCGTCTGTCTTGATTTTTTTCTTGCGTGTATAGCTTTAGAGCACCCAACTCGTAACTCTATCGATTCACTTCTTGAGGACCGTATTGATGAAGTTCCGACCAATACGAACAACATGATGCCCTCCGTGGCTTTTGAAGTCCACCAACCCAATCTGCCGAACCTTGCGACCACGGGTCAATCTTCCTTTGAAAATATGGGAAAGCAGTTTACACCAGCCGGGCGGAGTATTGGAACAAACCAATTGGATCATCAGACGAGCGGCTTGGTTCACGGAGCTTCACTCGCCTCACTTCCGTCGTATAGTATGGCAGAGTTTAGGTCGAAAGACTTGATGGAACTCACCCAGACCTATCCTACTGTGGAAACACAGGCCCCCAAATACCACATGTCTACTTATCTAGACCCAACAAGCTTTTCCTTCTTCCTGAACAGTTTGGAGGATCAATTGAATCAAGCTCTGGTAGCAGGAGGGCAGGAAGCAACTTCTATGCACAATGCAATCTCGAATGGGTATGGAGCAGTAGCCTCATCACACGCTGGTAATACTCCACCTCCAGTACCTCAATCTTCACATGATTTTCAAACCCCACCAGATATTGGTTCCATGTATCCAATGAATTTCATAAATGAAATACCACCATGTATGGGTGGTCCCCTCAATGGCCAATTGCTTTCAGAAACAAGATTCAGACGGACTTCGACTGATACGTACATCCAGGGCCCAACAGTGGAAAGAGTCGAGTTTAACCCCTGGTTGACTGATTCTGCAGTCCTCGACTCTCACAGCAGCCAATCTGGCTTGCAGAAAAGTGTAAATGGGCATGGCAAAATCCCAGTAAGTGTGAACCCAGCCAACCAATCTCTTGGATTTGATGCACCAGAAGGGAGGCCTGTTTGTGATAGATGTGAAGCTACCCCGTCCAAACGCAGGAAGTACACCAAACGGAGACCACCAACTGTCGAAATCTCTACAAAAATACCCACTGTGGTACCTGAAATGATTAAATTGAATCTCATCCCTTTGGAGAAAAAATCAAGAATACTCGTCTTTGACAGGGAAGTATTCGGATGTGAAAATTCCGCTGAATTGAATAACGGCAGATTGAATCAAGTGCTTTTGAAGCTCGATTTATTGGCTCGTCAAAAAATGCAAGTCTCGCCAGAACACTGTCATGAGTTATGTTCAGAGGGAAATTACATTCAAATACCTCGTCATATTGGCCCAAACATGTATGGGTCAACACCACAAGAAAAGCTCAAAAAATCAAATGAAAGAAGGTCTCAAAAAAGAAATCAACTGATTGATTTAAACGAAGAATTGTGGCTACATCGATCACTTTGGTTTCAGTTTTGGGAAGATAGAACTGGGTTAAAGTTGCAAGATAAGCCATTTGGATTGGCACCACCCGAAAGGCCGGTTCGAATGCGTATCAACCAATGCTTTGTGTTGTTCCCATTCTATCTGGATATGATCGCTACCATCCTCTTTAGGGATAATCGAGTTGAATCGCGGGAAGCTATTCCAGAAGACCATGGCTCAGTATTGATTAAGAAATCAATCGAAATATACGATCAACTAGCCCAATCTTGGGCTGAAGAAAACTTACAAATGAAATCTAAGAGATTTCAGAAACCAAATAAGAAATCAGGTAGTACTACTAACACTTCCACTCATATTTTCAAAATCGATAACAAGTACCCAGCCAATAGTGTGATTAACTGGGATTTCATAGAGAACTTCATTATCCTTTCAGGTAATAAAGGTTTGAAGAGGGTGATGTTTGAAAATGGTCATATATGTGCTCACATCAAAGGTTTCTTTGATGATATTTTCATTTACTCTATGAAAAATTTGAACAAGAGAATTTCTGAATATTACTCATTTCAGTCATAATTTTTTTCATCATTATCATGATCAGTTTGTCTTGAATTGAGGTAATATGATACAATTCATGAACAAAAAATGTAAATAGCATCTCTATTTAGGTTTAATTTGACACTTCATGAATCCAATAATAATAAAAAAAGTTTGACTCTGATACTCCTACAGGACAAAAAGGAACCAGAATCTTAACTTAAAAAACATTATCACTTGTGGAACTCAAAATCAAAATAATTGTGTAATTAGACCAGACTAAGCCATTTTTCAAGAGACATTCAAATGTAACTAAAGCCCATTATCTTGTCTCCTGGAATCAGACTAGAAGGCTTACATTCAAAACCAAGGGACAATTCTTCCAAATTCATCATAAATGTGGGTTTTTGTCTTTTGGGCTGAGGGGAAAACAGGGATGGGATGACTGGATTTCACAGACTTCAGCTCATGTGAAACTCTGGAAGTGAGGTATAAAGTTGTTGTTCTACAGTGAGGAAACAATAGATGACTTCCCGTCGCAATCTACAACCCTCCCAGAAGTCAATTTACACCCCTTAGATCTATTTTTTTCATCAAAAAACATTTTTTACGAAGCCTTCCAGAAACAGCTCTCATGTGGTCTGGTTGAAATCTTCATCATGTTGTTGATTTAGGACTGAGGGAGGTCTAAAAAGCTTTCTAAATCGTGACAAGAAGTCCTCCAATAACTAGACTGATCTTGGGTAGAACCAAATATAAGATCTGATCCTGGCCTGAAACATACCCTTGATATAAGCATATCAAAATTTGATGAGCTATTCCCTTGCAATTCTTGTAATCCCTTACTGGTACCCTTGGATAAAAACTAGAAAGAAGCACTTCAGCTTTTGGAATTTTCAATGGGTGTGATTACAGAAAACCCCACCAATTACATGAACAACCCCAAGACCAATGATCATGTCACACAGAAACAAGGCAATTTCCTGGGCTGTTGAGCCCCCAAAAAGGGGGTATTTTTGTCATTGGTGGGGATTTACACCCCTCCTGTTTGATATCAAATCTCTGCTATGTATGTATTGCTTGATCCAGAAGGGTACTTATCACCTCTGAGGTCACCTGTCTCCTCATCCTGAGGGGACACCCTTGAGCAGGGAAGGGAGGGCAAAACAAGACACCCTTACCCTTGCCTTGGGTATCAGGAATGGGCCATGGGAGTTTTTTTTTCTGTGGGGCTGTTTAGACAAAATTATACCCAAACTTAACTAAAGCCACTGGAGAGGTTCTACATGTCTTGCACACCCTCACAAGTGATACCAAGGTATTACCACCAGGCATTTGGGTCCCTAGGAAACCAAGTCTGGGAATTCTACTCACCAAGCATTCACTCATGCTTGTCACTCTGAAGCCACAGAATAACACTGGGATCTGTGAGCCAGCCTGGCAACTTTACCCTGGGATACCCATTGGTACTTGGTGTGCCAACTATATATCCCTTTTCTTACATGACTCTGAACAATTCCAAGAGAAATTTATTGTCTATATTAAGATACAAAGAGGAAAGTTATCTTTAACAAAAGAATAAATTCTTGAAAGGAACTTGAAGAAGAACATGATGAGTGTTTATATTTATAAGTCTTTAGTATTTCAAGGGGGTCGGAAAAACGACTCCCTAAAATTTGCCGACGACTGCCATTTTGGTTGAGGGGTTGTCAGACGGGAGTCATCTTTCCAATACCCCCTGGGGGATTGGGACTTGGGAGTTGACTTCCCAATTGTTTTTTATTAAAATTTATTTTTTTGGGTGGGTGTCGGCGCCCAAAACCCTCCTTGGCAAGTGGGAGGTTTGGGAGTCGCCTCCCTCCCACTGGCCGGGGGGATTCCCTCCGGTCACTGAGACTGTACAGTCTCAATGACCAGAAAGAATCCCTTCCGGTCATCAAGACCATACAATCTCGATGGCCGGAAGGAACCCCTTACGGCCATTGAGACCAATCTCCGTGACTGGAAGTTCTGGCCGTTGAGATTGTATGGTCTAGGCTGTACACCTCATCGATCGGAAGGATATCCTTCCAGCCAATGAGATACAACAACACCATTGACCGGAAGGAATCCCTCCCGGCTGATGAGAAACAGTTTAACGACAACACCACCAACCAGAAGGGATTCCTTCCGGTTGATGAGGTTGTTACACCTCATGTGGTTCTGTAAGAATAGAAGGAATTCATAATGGAATAAAGGAATTCAATATTCAATATGCAATATACCCTCCAGCTGAGTGCCTCTGATCCTGTGATTCTCTGTGTGACATCCTTGATCCGTGTAACTTCTTATCCAGTAGAGATATGATGGTGGTTCCAGTGAGTGACTAGGGGTTAAATTGGCCGTATATTCCATTTCTGACTTCCATTTGTTCATATCTTGAGCCCTTCATTGATAAATAATAAAACATACACAGGAATAATGACCACACCGGAAGGGATTCCTTCTGGTTGATGAGGTGTAACAACCTCATCAACCGGAAGGAATCCCTTCTGGTTGATGAGGTGTAACAGACCCATCTACCGGAAGGAATCACTTCCGGTCAATGGTGTTGTTGTTTCTTATTGACCGGAAGGATTTCCTTCAGGCCATGTGGGAGCGACTTCAAAATCCCCTCAAGCATGAGGGGTGGTTTGGGGATCTGACTCCCAAAAATGCAAAAAAAATAAATATTAAAAAAAATAAAACATCATTGGATGGCCAACTCCCAAAGTCGGTCATTCATTTGGAAAAACGACTCCCATTCAACATTGGACGACCTTATTTGGGAGTCGGCAACTAAAATTTGGGAGTTGTTTTTCCAAGCCCCTATTTCAAATGATAATGAGAAAATAAGAACAAAGATATTTCAACAAGAAAGAAAATAAAAGGGGAAAAGGAACAAAGAGACCAAACAATATAAAAGAAAAATATCCCAAAACAAACTAATAGCATCATAATGAAATCAACAAGTTAAAGAAGAACAGAGTGTAATGAGATGCTTGCCATTCTTATTGACTAATCACTAATGATTATGTAAGCTCTTCAACATGACCAAAGATAAATGCAAAATTTTTATGGTTGGGCTCCTGAAAAGCTGTTCTGGAGCCCAAAAGCTGTGGTGTAACCCTTGGGTATACCCTGAGACGCTGGGAACAGGATCCAGCACTTCATGCATGTTCAGGGTCACCAAGAAAATTCTGCCCAGTTTTCTGTCCCAGAACAAGGTCTACCACACAGTACACACCCTTATCTGTACAACATATGATCATCAAATCAGCAAAATATCAAAACCACATACAATGGTGTGCAGCATCCCTAAGTTAGGCCTCCTCACTAAATAGCTCCAGCTTTGAACTGTCACAGTGTGTAATTATTACACTACAATTATATCTTGTGCATCATTGGAAACTGTACAGAAATCAGAACACAAAGATATGTAGTGCACTTCAAAATGATGTCTCTAAAACATTGAAAATTACTTTTGGGGCTTGTTACAGGTGACCCACCTTGTACTGTAGTTTCCAGTCATTTGCATAATGTGTGATCAATCAGTGGTGGTCCACTACACCAAACTACACTACAGGGCCACTTAGTGTTAGTGTAGTGGCATTAACAGTGGCCCTTTTTTTGTGTAGTGTTGGTGCAACACTACTGCTGCTGTGCTGCACTAATTTGTAGCAACACCAACAGCGGAAATCTTTGTGTGTAGTGTTAGCACACAGCTACAGCTGCTATGCTAGAGCACCTTTTTGCTGTTAAAAGTGCTCCAGTGGGCACATCCTTTCTCACTGTGTGCGTAGTGTTAGTGCAGATTTGTGTAATTGCACTGACACTATGCTAGAAAGCAGAATATTGCTATGCTAAGGTTAGCACAGCTGGCCCACTGTTGGTGTAAATTACTAATGGAATAATTACATAAGCTGGTCCTGCTCAAAGTTGAAGCTATTTTGGTGAGCAGGCCTAACTGACAGATGTTGCTCACCACTGTTCATGATTCCATGTAGTATGCTATTCATCTCACTAACTAAACAAATTCTCTCCCTAGTGGGAGGGTTGCTGGTGTGAATCACTGGATGATGGTGACCAAGCCACCCCTCCCACATTGAGGGACATACACCCAAAGTGGGGGTATTTGCCTGACAGGCTCGAAGACTCATCCAGTTACACAACCCATGGCTCTCTCATTTTCTTTGAGCTACACATGTGTTTCCACAGAAGATCTGCTCCAAAACCTTACCTTTGCTCCTATCAGCTCAGTTTTGCAAGATATACTGTCAAGCAATAACAGGGCTATTATCAATATTATCTTGTTCAAACCTGCAGACTCAATTGAAGGAGGATGCAGGATGATGTCTTGACTCCATTTATGGTATTCAAAGTTGAAATCATAAAATCATAGATTGCATGAAATCATAATTCATAAAAAAAACCCCCGGAAAAATCTATGCACTTCCCCCGAACTCTCCTTCTTTTGCATAAGAGTGCATGAGTGTTCCCTAACCGCACTACTAACCTTCCCCTCTCACCGAAATTCTGGCTTCAAAATATGTCCACCATCAACTCAACTCAGCCATCCCAGACTGACGCCTCTCAACCTACTCAAAACACCACCCAAGCCTCGGAGACTATAACCCCTCACCCGACAAATCACGAAACACCAGCTAGAGGACGTGGGAGTCGCGGCGGCAGGGGTGGAGGCGCCCGAGGTCGAGCCCGTGGTGGCCGGGCAGTACAACGTGGAGGTCAAACTCGAAGCCAGCCAGGTACTCGATCGGCTCCGCGCTCATGGACCAAGGATCGCAACCGAGACGGGCTTTCGTCCGTTGACCTGATTGTTGAATGGCTAACCGTCGAAGGCCGCTATGACCTCTGGCGGAATTCCACTGTCAGCAAACGGGAGGTGTGTGAGCTGATCAATCAATACTTGATCGACAACGGCGGTGAAAGTCGTTTGTGGCGTGGCATTGAACAACAGGTATGTCTTCATAACTGTTCTATTAACTTGCACACATGTTGATTGGTTTGATCCTTCCGAGGTAGGTTACTACCCTTGAGAAAAAATTCCGTGATGCGCTGGCGTGGCGAGACCAAACTGGCCAAGGGATCTTGGATGAGGCCGATGAGCTGGCCCAACAAGCTGGCGGCAACTCCGAAGATGAGGACTTTGTCGGTAATGCGATTACCGAGACCGAAAAAAAGATTCGATCGATTTGTCGTTACTTCTACGAGCTCGAACCGGTTATGCTCGATCGACCCTCCGCTGTCCCCTTGAACACACATGAACAAGGGGATGATGATGACCTGACTCGTGCTCTCAATCTCGATCGGAACGAGGACCGTCCCACTACCCCTGAGCATTGGAGCGCGTCCGAACGAGGTGGACCCGCATCACCGGTTAACACCCTTGGACTGCCGTCTCCTGACGTCATCCAGTCCTTACCTGCCACGGCCAGATCTACGGCGGAAACTCCTGTGGGAACTGGCACACCAGCGGTGGCACCGTCCCCTTCAAATAGGGTGGCCTCGAGGTCCGCTCTGGCTGCTCAACGTCCAGATGCTCAAGCTCAGCGGCGAGTCAGCTATTCTGAGAGGATTACCGACCGGCTGTTTCCATCTCGGGATGAAATGGCCAGTCAAACGACTGCCGAGATTCAGATGAATCGTGACCGATTAGACACGGACAATCGAATGGTCGATGCGAACATCTCCCTGATCAATGCCTTAAGTCAAGGCCTCGCGCCTACAGCCATTTCGCCCGAGCAGATCAGCCTTCAGAACCGCCAACTTCAGCTTGATCTCCAGCTCCGAGAGGTGGAAGTCGCTCGTGCCCGAGCCGCTTTGGCTGCCGAGGAGGCTTCAGGTGCAGCGTTTGCTTGGGCGAGGATGGTCCAGGACTTCATTGGATCCGGATTAGCACCAGCCGAAGCCCTTGAGATGACTAATCAGATACTCGGGCCGGTCTTGTTGGCCCCTCCACAGACTCCTGTTGACCCTTCTCAGACTCCTGTTGACCCTTCCCCGCCTTATGATGAATAGCTTCTTTTGGTCCGATGGTAGATTCTCCTGGATTTCATGACATGCTTTTGCTCTCACATAGTAATCAAACACAAGCCCAAAGGGAAATAAGAAATTTTTTATTGTCATTATATAGTAATCAAACGCAAGCCCAAAGAGAAATAAGATTAATTTAAGCTTCTAAAGAAGCTGGCAAAACCTCTGAAATAGAGCATCTCGGCGAGCACCGTCCTCACACATAATCAAGCCTGGATCGTCCTCTTCATCCTCTTCAGGGTCAAAGTTTTGAACTGGTTGGTTCAGCTCCGCCCACTCTACTTCGCGGAGGTCAAGGAGATAGTTGTGTAATACAACACAAGTCCGAATCCACGCATTGAGTCGTTTGGCGGTCTTCTTACCGAGAATCTCGATTGAGAGCGACTTCAACGATTGCCACCGATTTTTGAGCATTCCAATTGTGTGCTCGACCACGACTCGGTTATGGCTCAGCTCATAATTGAACTGTTGCTTTTCAGGAGGTAGGGACCGACCAGGCGATCTCTTGAAGGCAGGGATGATAGTGTCTGTTGAGGTGTAAGCTGAATCGGCAAGCAAGTATTCGCCAGCCGAAAAAAACCCCCGCGGATGCCGGTACAGCTAAATCATAACGGACACACCTATCAGACTTTTGACAGCTCTACAAGAGATGAAATCAACCTACTTGGCAGTTCTTATACACTCGTTGGTCGTGGGCACTCCCACACCATCCATGGACCGCGTAGATGATTCTCCTCTGCCAATTGCAGACGATCAAGGAGTTAACTGCGTATACCATTTTGCGCATCCAGTAATCTTCTTTGTGCTTTGTCGGTGCCGATGCCAAAGGGAAAATTGTCCCATCGGCGAAGCCAATGCAGCCATCAAACACCGTCTTCCCAGCTAGAGTTGCGGTCACATTGGCACGCTGTTGAGTGTTTGGCCAGTACACGTGTTTTTTCTCCAACGTCTCAATGATCGCAAACATACAGCGATTAGTGTAGTTTTCCACGGATCCCGCTATGGAAATGGGTTCTCATAAGCCTTCAACTCCCTTGACATTCAAAAAAAAGAAACTTAATAAACTCACGGCTGATGTTGTAGTATTGTCCAAGGACATGGGGAGAGCCACCATTCCCATACAAGCCGAGATTGGAGAGAGCAACTATAAGCTGCATTTCGACTGGTGCTTGAGGGTTGTTGGAGTTATTATGAAATACAGGATGGTTCTTAATTGTGTCTGCTAGCGAAAAAAAACTTTTTCGCGACATCCGTGCCTACACTCAATCAAATCAGCACAAGGATATAAAATATAATAGACAAAATCGGAAAAATACTTACATATATCATGAATACATCCTCAGTCGTGCCTATCAGCACTTCGTATGTTCTAGAGATGGTAGCAACCCGAGGCCGAGGGATCCTGGGGACAGTGTATCGGGCCGAAGATAGCTGGTCGATCAATTGGACAAGTATCAATACTTGCCTTTTTGATTGATCCAGATTTTTTTTTTTCAAGTATTCATGAAGGTCGATGGCCGATCTCCTCAGTCGGAAGTTCACTAGAGCAAGATTGACAATGATGAGGAGAAGTTCGTTTGAGAGGAGCCTCTTGATCCTGATAATAGCAGCGATTAGACAGTTGAAGACGAGTTGATTTGATGGGTTCGAGTGGAGAGCCTTAGATTTCCGATCGGCCATCTTCATTTTCCAAAGGGATGCGATGAGCGTCATTTCCACCCCCTCTAGGAGCTTCTGGCGATCAGACTTGCGAGGCATGATTCGGGAGATGAGGCACTTATGCAGCCTTATGCAGCCCAGGGGTGCTCAAAGTCAAATGTGTTACATGAAATCATGAAGTGAAAAACCCCCGCCAAAAAAAAATATGCATTATGATTTCATGCAATCTATGATTTTATGATTTCAACTTTGAATACCATAATTCAAAAATCAACCTAAAATAATCATGTTAGTTTTTTGACAAGCTGATGAGTTCTAAAGAGTGACATGATACACAAGAGTCTTGTAAGCTTTGTAAACTACAGGCTGTAAAATTGAAAGAGTGATATGACATTGCTTTTTGGTGGATGGTCTCAGGCACCAGCCAAAATTGAGCACCAGCCCAAAACAACCTCCCACACAGGGAGGCCTTTGTTAAGTCAGCTCATCTCAATTCTCACCAGTTTTTATATCTTTCTACAACCAGTAAAACATATGACTGCCCACCTGTGGCCACTATGGTTTCAAAAGAACATATAAAGGCAACAGAAAAACTCTTGAAAAGAGAAATTGAAACCATGGGAAATAGCAAGAATAAGTTATTTGTAAAAAAAGACAATAGATGACAATCAATCAGACAAACAAATCAAAAGAGTATGTTGACTTTTTGTCATCTCTTATAAATAATCATTGGTTTTCAAAAAAGCAAGATAGAAAAGATGTATTTTTGAAGAGTATTCTTTCAATCAGAAAAGATAAGAAACAATGTAATAGCTATAAATAAAGATATATATTACAGTAGTTCTTTTTTTGTTTGAAAAAAAAAATGATGTATTTATATGGAATGGAGTAAAAAAATCATATTACAACACATAGGTTATGAGAAAGTAAAAGATGAATGTGCATTTATCTATGTTATCAGTATACTCTCACAATTGTCACACTCAAACTAGGAACAGAGAGAGAGAGAGATAGAGATAGAGAGGGAAGAAAAATCAAGTTTGAAATAAGTCTTAGTGTTAGTGTGTGTTTATGATTTTATGTTTGTCTGGATGAGAATAGTTGATTGAGATGATATGTGAGTGAGGAATGGTCTAGAATGAGGCTTCAATTGGATTCGATGGCTTGTGCTTGTTCATGGGCTGACTGAGCTTGCTCATGTCCTGTAGGAGGTTCTTTGACATCATGGAAGTCTTAGTTGTTGAAAGAAAAACAAAAACAAGCCAACATCAAAACAGATTTTGAGAGAAAAGGAGATAAAGGAGAAGAGGAAGAGAGAGGGGACCAACCTAAGATTTCGGAATACATCATGACCCTCCAAGTGTCGACGGGCAAATCAGCATCATTAAAGGACCAGTCGAAAGGCTCATTGGCAATAGGTTCATCAGTTGGATCATGATAAGGAGATAAATATTCATTGGCTAAAGCCTCGGTGGCATTGATCCGCTTTAGGGGATCAAACACCAACATCCTCTCGAGTAAGTCTAACGCAAGTGGATCGGCGTTCTTGAACTTGGTGCTGAAGGGAATCCGGTCTCGCTTTGGCAAGGATTGGACAAATCGAAGCGTCTATATTTACATCATCTGGTCAGCTCGGGTTTTTCGTTCAATCATGTCTTTCACGTTGGTCAGCTCTAAAGCTATTAGAAAGAGAAGACAAACATTTTCCGAACAGATTGTGGCAATCACATCGTCAGGAGGAGTTCCAAGTAACTCGGTAATGATGGAGAATTGATTGACGTCTTTTAGCACATAAAATGAAATGAAAAATCCCGCGGTTGAGCTTTTGAATTATCCAAAAGGCAATAAAGATGATATTTGTTGGGCTATGGGAAAAAGACGAAAAAACAGGATATTGGATCAAAACGGAGTGAAATACTGACGGTCTTTCCCGGGGAATAAAGGCTTGCCTTCTAACATTTCAGCAAAGATGCAACCAGCACTCCATATGTCGACTAGATATGACGGACAAAAGAACAAAAAACGGCATTAGTTACTCTTGTGCCTAATCAGTCAATCACGCAGACTAGGAGAAATCTGAAAATGGTAAAGATGTTGAAAAACACTAGCCAGCCACATCGTATTTCTGCCAAGTTAGCATAATCTCGGGCGCACGATAATATCGTGTTGAGACGTATCCGGTCATCTGAGGATCTTGTAATCTTGCTAATCCAAAATCGCATATCTTCAGATCGCAGTTTTCGTTGACCAATATATTGGATGGTTTCTTGTTGTTTGTTTGGAAGGATTTGTTTTTGAGGCGTGGATTGGAATGGATTCGTTTTGTTCGGAATGACAGGCGGAAAAGAACAGATAAGTGAGCTAGGGATGTGGCGCTTATCCGAATGATCAAGTCCTTAATATTTGAGTAGAAAGCAGACATACCAAATCACGATGGACAACACCAGCTGAGTGGACGTATTTCAAGCCACGCTAGGAGTAAAAATGATGGGAATGGTGTTGTTTTTATTCATTCAAGAGTCAGTAATGATGTAGTCTGAGACCTTCATACACTGATCAACAGAGAGAGGGATTGAAGTAGGAATCATGAACTGACCAAGATCTGGTAAAGAAAGTATTGGATGAACTGTTTTTCTAAGGGTCTAGAGGTCAATAACCTATGCAGATCGGTACCCAATAACTCGGTCACAAAGTAGATATCCTCCAAGGGAGAGATAAAGATATCTGAGAGACTGATGATGTTTTCGTGTCTGATGTGCTTTAACAATTTCAATTCTCTGTAGGTTCTTTTTGCCAATACGGGCCTGTTTGTTTTCCCGGATTTTCAAATGTTTAAGAAGAATGAGAAATGAAAATCAAAACCAGGGATCAGTTTTCTATTGGACCTTGGGGTCGATATATCCATGTCGTATTGATGATCGATGGGCTATTTACGTTGAGAATGGTTTCATGATCTTCTTGATTGCCACATTCGTAGCCGTCAACTGGTCATTGGCCGAACACACCAATCCGAATGCGCCCATTCCTACGGGTTGGAGGTCGGTATATCTTGTGGTGACCTCGAAAACCGTGCCCTATGGCAGATGATGTACATCGTGAAATTAGTTACAAGTCGGATCGCTCGGAAGAAGACGGGAATCAGGGGAGCTTACAAAGATCGAAAGCTTTGCGAAGTCCTATGTAATCGGATTGGATTGGAAACAAGAAACAAGATCAGATGGTATCGATGAGTTGATTGAGTTTCTAGTTGAGCACTGCTTACAGCCATCACGAAGCCAGGACCACCAGGTGAGATGCTATTTCCGATCGGCGGGGCAGAACCTGAGGGGAGAGCGCCAGAACCAGCTTCTTCAACCATCTTTGAACTGTTTTTTTTTTTTTCCTTTTGATGGTTTGAGTGTTGAGGGTGTCTTGTTGACTGTCTTTCTGTTGAAGCAGGGGAGGAAGGAAGGGGGTGGGTAGTTGTGGGGACTGGGGACTGGGGATCAGTGGGGGGGAACTTGGAAGGATACCAACCAGTTTTACACAGCAGTTTATTGAGAAGTAGATTGGTTTAGGTAAGCCTCTCGAATCTTGATATGCTAGGATCGATGGCTGACTCAGTTTTTTTTTTTTTTCAGTCGGACGAACACCAGGAGGTTACTAAGACCGGCGATTGGTCGTCCCTCAGTCGGGTCACGGGCAAAAGAAATTCAAAAGCCCTAGTGCCTCAACTGATTCCTCCAGGCTCCTGCAACAAAGTGAACAACTGAACTGACGAACAACTGTTATGACATCATCTTCTCTGGATTGCCCGGCTTCCACATTCTCACACAAAGTCTTCCATGTAAGAGAACCAATTTAGAATCTCCAGGACTCCAGTATGTATGTATACAGATCCATGAAAAGAGACCAGATTAATTCCAAAAAAATTGACAGTTCTTTGAGAAGAAAAGAAAAAACATCTGATCCAAAAAAAAACATTCCAAAATCATGAAAGCAATCCCTTCTGTGGCTGTACAAAAGCAGTAGCATCTGCTGTAGATTTGATTAAGCCCAGGAGAGAAACAGGAGACTTGATCATAAACATAGTATCAGCACTCAATATTAGATCTTCTCACTTGCATGTGTCAATTGATCATATACCTCAAATATATTTCATGAACCAATTTTGCTGAACACAAGAATCTTGGTCATTTTTTTCATGACACAAAAAAAGCACTACCAATTATTCTCAGGTCTGGTTGAAGGATTCAGCCAGTATAACTGATCAGCAAAGGAACAATGTTTCAAATCAAAAGCTCCAACAAAAATCACAATATAGCTATTGATAAGACAGGCAGCTCCCCTGCTTCTACACTATGGGTGCTGGGTATTGAATCATTTCCAAAACTCTTTTGGAAATGTCTTGAAAGATGTGCCTGCCAGTGCAAGGGGGGGCATTGCAGACCTTGGTCCAGGTGATCTTTCAAAATAGTTTTGATATTTTTTTTATGGAAATTGCGTAAAAGTTTAGAAATTTTTACAAAAGTTGCTTCAGAAACTTGCAAAGGCCATCTGTTTGACCTTAAAAGTGCCCCTGTAGTGTAATAAAACCATTAATCAAAATCTGTAAGATCATGTTGTGGCATAATCACTGGGAAGAAAAAAACAAAACTAGGGATAAGAAATCACTCCCACCATTCCTTGTTGCATTTTCCATTTTTTGTATCTTTTCACCTTTTAAGAAATCTGACACACCTTCCACTTACATGTCAGTAGCTCCATATTATACCTGGAGCAGATGATGTGGAAGAACTTGTTCCTCATCCATGCACAACCATCCAGCCCAGCTATGTAGTTTTCTTTGCTCTCTCTCTTTTTCTCATCTGCTTGTTTTCCTCTTCCAATCTTATGACCTGATATTATCATCCTTCCACAACCATCAACAGTCCAGTTCCAATTGTTCATCACAGCATTCCTTGCAACAACATAAAGATAAAGATAAATTGTGTTGAACAAAAAACATCAGCAGACCCTCCCAGCCATGGCCCATCATGGGCAGGCTTATCAACCTAGGGAAGTTCAAATTAGCCCAACATAGTTGCTGATGTTTGACAAAGCTTACTGTGGTATAATCACAATTTGTAGTAAAGCTGAATTGTGATATTTAGATTTGAAAGTAAATTTGTGTAGCAAATTTTGAATAAAGTTTACCAGGAATTATTGGAGCAACATCATCAGTATATACATGAGCTACCCTAACAGACCTGCTTCAATTCTTGGAGATTTGTATTCTATTTGGACTATGCTATAATCTTCACTCAATTCAACTTTCTTTCTCATTGAATTTTGAAGGAGGAATCACTAACCTAACCCTATTGTCCTTGACATAAATGTGTTAGGAAAAAAAAAGTATCTTATCAATCAACTCATTCTTTGAGTTCTTGTTCCCTTTTCAAGTCATTAACAGGCCATAATTGGGTCAATTTGAATCCTGACATTGCTCACCACTCCATAGGTGACAGTTCAAAGTTGAGATGTTCCAAACACATCTTTTTGAGATTGCTGGTCAACTGCAACCATCAGAGGAGGAAGTTTTTCTTGCAGTTTTTCCTTGGTCAACCCTACATACCACTGCCCAAAAAGTGGGGAAAAGGGGGTATCAAATATAACCAAATCCACCATTATTTAATTGACTGGTTTGACAAAATCCACCCTTTTTTAAACATGTGGGTTATTCATTTAACCCCTTTTGGGGCCCTTTGATGCAAAAACACTTTTTGGGGAAAGTGACTGGTTTCTAATGGTGGATTTCATATATTTGATACTCCTAGTATTCATATACATCTGTGCAGAAAGTTCAAGATTACATATGCTTAGCATGTAAAAGTGTCATGTCCAACTTCAAGATCCATAACAAACCACAAACACAAAAACTGTAAAGAACAGGTTTGGTTATCAAGGTTCATACCAGTGACCATAGAAATTATAATTTCTTTGTCATTACACTGTATTCCATGGTACCCAACCTTGGCTGCACAGATATCTTTTTATGGTTTGCTTCAACTTCACCCTCCCTCAGTCATCATCAAAGTCTGTTCTTGAAATGGATCAGAACTAGAGATTTTGATTTGTTTTCCCCAGGAAACAATAGCAATAAATTAATATAACGATAACAATAGTAATCCAAAAGACCCAAACATAATCACAAAAAGAGAGACAAGAAAAAAAGGCAAGAAAACAAGACATCCACGGACTAGCTTCATGCCAAACAGCAGGAGATCAGCTAGTAACAGTTTACAGATGTAAAAAAAGCGAGAAAAAAAATCAAATTACGGGGCTTGTTTTTTAGGCACAAATGTAATCAAGCCAAATCTAATGTTAAAAAACATTCAATCACATTGTAAGGATTGTGAAGAGGAAGAAACATCAATTTTGAGACCCAATTCTGAGGGAATAAGAGCAAGACAGTCAAGTGACGTACTTTCCATTGATCCTCCAATCTGGGTCGATCTTGGAGACCCATGCCTCTTTTCCAGACCCCAATCCTGCACAAACATCTGCCTTGCAAGTCCTAAATGGAAAGAAATAAAAGGAAGGACACATTAGATGTCGATGATAAGCACATGAAGAAAAGAGAATGAAGAAGAATAAAGTTCCAGGGGAATTGGGCGAACCTAAGCGATAACAGGTTGAATAGTCCGTTTAATGGGCCGATGGCTTCTTCAATCGGAGTCTCTGTTTCCCACTGAGCATCGCCCGTTAACTTCCGATAATTCAGATCGCCCTATTTCCATAAGAAAAGCATGATTGGTTCAGCTATTCAATCTGACTGAGAAGACGAGGTACTGAAAATCACCTTGAAGATTACTAGATCAGCCGCTCGGAGCTCCTCTAGTAGTTTTGTATCTCGAGATGCAATATCCCAGAACGGTAAAGGATTCGTCCAGACTGTGCAACCAAAATCCAGGTAGCAGGTTGAAAGTAAATGGCGAAATAGTCAGAAATGCATGTTTGAGAATGGAACAGCAGAGAGGCTGATAATAATGGAAGCGGAAGAGGTGCAAGTGAAGGTAAGAAACCCATATGAAGAAGAGCTTAAACTCAACACGACAAGAGTGACGAATCCATTACTTTCCACGCCCCGGACTCAAAGTAGCTCTTCCATCTCCTGCCGATTTCTTGAACAACAAGGAAATGTGCATCATGTGTCTGATCGGGGTTGGTCGATGATTGATCCGTGCCTGTCGATGTGAAGAAATTGCGAGGATCGACCATTGATTCAAGCAGTTGGTCTATATCTTTTTTCATCACATCACTGACAAACCTAAACTCGTAGTAATGATCACCAAAAGAGGACTCGAGTAAATTGTCAGCTTGCGTCAACTGTTGGATGAAGCGCAAATCCCAGGAGGCCGAGTTATTTTATCACTGGCTTGAGGAAATGGGGGGTGTAAAAGACTATGAAACTGACCAAGGAATCAACTTGGGATGAAAGACGATTTGGGCGGCTTTGGAGTTTGAAACGATCCCTAAGAAAATCAATAGATGAGATACAAGATCCTCCTCTTTCTCGATTGATGATAATGACGACAAAAGCGTCGATGTTTTTTATACAAGTGAAATATACCAACAATCAGCCAAGACCAGATCAGTAAACAACTCGAAGCCAGCATTATCCAAAACGAAATCAATCCTTCTGGCGGAAGGTTTCCCAGGTACACTGCTATTAAAGTCGAAACAAGTTTGCCAAACTTGGGCAGAGTCATCTCTTAGTACTGACTCCGGCTTCCTCGACGAACTGGTTTGGAGATGCTGGATTTCTTCGTGAGTCATATTGGGAAGTAAAGACAGATCCTGGATAGGGATGACGACAAAATTGGGGGCAGGGTCAACGAAATGAATGAATAATGAGGGCAATCTTGTGAGTCATATGATCAGGCTGTCTCTTACCGTTGCGTTACCCCATAAGCAAGCACTCAAGAGCTCGTTAAACTGAGCCCGACGCCCTAGCAGATCATCATCGGTGACAGAAGATTGTTTGTCTTGCTTAGTCAGTCGATCTAGGATAAGACAGAGGTTTGAAACTGCACTCCAAGAGGAACGGAAGCTGGATAGTTTTTGATGCTCGAATGGATCGAAGTTTTTCCAATGTTCATGCCGATTGAAAAATCCGTGTAATCGTTGATATCTTTATAAATCAAGTGAAGGTTTGTGTCGATCAAATCAATCTTCCGCTTCCAGCCAAAACAAAACAAAAATTCCGAATTGACCACTTACAAATAACATTCCGTTAACTGCAAATCGATCAAAGAAAATAAGGCACAAAGTTAGTACTGATGTTTTGCAGATTCAAGAATGTGACTAGAGGGCAACTAGGGGGTGACTTAACAAGCCAAGATGCGGAAAACCAGGTCGGTTTGCCAGCCGCTTTGGATTTTGAGAGTTCTTGGTTGTAGAGAAGAATAATCTGATTTTCTTGTTCGGTATAATTCTGATTAGACTCCAATGGGCTGGTGATCCAATAGAAGTTTATCATCAGTCAGACTTTTGAAATGTATGATAAGTTGAATGGAGAAGGACTGACGATAGCTCCTTATCTCTCGCTGCTTCATACTTTAATTCGGAGATCAGACTGATGATAGCTTTACCCTGAGTGAGTTTGGCTTTGAGTGATTGTGAATCTGGATCGGAGGGTAGTCGATCGAGTAGTTGGTTGTTTTGGTCGACCAGATGATCGATGACTTGGGTGAGTATCTTCGGCCAGCGTGTGGTGACCGATTGGAATGCGAATGAGTGCTTGTTCGAGGGAGAGTAGGGGTGCACCCTTGGTTGATGGTTCGAGTTTGGGAAGATGGTGGAGGCCATGATAAGTGGGGGTAAGATGGGTCTACGTAGATCGATCGTAAGTATATCAATATCAGTTTATTTCTAACATAGCATTGATCAAAACAATAAAACGTACCTTCGGTTTTGAGAATCTGGTCGATTCGAAGTCGAGCTTAGTTGGTGTGACAGATTGAAGGATTTTGTAGTTGATAGACCCAGTGTTTTTCGTGTTTGTCCTCGCAGTCCTGATAGGTTTTCTCTTCTTCGTGGTTCTTCCTTGCCTTTCCTTTCCTTGATGCTGTGAACTTGCCCAACATCTCTCGGTGATGTCATTCATCTGCCCGGGCTTCCCCGGGGAATGAAACCCCGGAAACCCTACAAGCAACCTAATTCAAAGTGCGTTGGACTTTTTCTCAATGCATCAAGTTTCAATACTGGATGACTGGAGGACTTCCCGTCAACTTCTGCGGGTCTCCCAGAGTCGGTTTAGAGCGTCAAACTTCAAATTTCCCTGCGAGAATTAAAAGTTTTGGCTCTAGATCGACTTCTGCGAGGGTCCCAGATCCGACGGGAAGTCCTCCACTTCCCGTCAACATCTGCGGGTCTCCCAGAAGCAATTTAGAGCCCTCAAAAGCTAGATTTCCCAGTGAAATTCTAGACTTTTTGGGTCTAAATCGTCAACTGTGAGGGTCCCAGATCTGACGGGAAGTCCTCCGCTGGATGACTTCCTGTCAACATCTGCAGGTCTCCCAGTTTTGATTTAAAGCCGCAAAAATCTAGACTTTTTGGGTCTAAATCAAAAACTGTGAGGGTCCCAGGTCTGACGGGAAGTCCTCCACTTGTCTTGTAATGGTGGACTTCCCGTCAAATTCTGGGGGTCTCCCAGAGTCGGTTTAGAGCCTCAAAATTCAAATTTTCCCTGCGAGAATTAAAAGTTTTTGGCTCTAGATCGACTTCTGCAAGGGTCCTAGATCTGACGGGAAGTCCTCCAATCTTAGTAAAACCCGGTCAGGCCAGATTAATTTTTTTCAAAAACATGTTTCATGGTGTCAGTATTACTGCTAGTGGCGCTGGGTGGCAATTTCAAGCAGATCTATGTACATACTAATGGTCATGCTAGCTAAAAAAGGGTTGGACATCAATTCATTTTTAGGGAAGCAGATCTAGAAAATCATCTATATATAGTTGAGAGAAGAGATTACATCTTAGGCAGAAAAGGGTCAAGACAGGGCTTGTGTCAGCCTCTGGGTAACTAACCTGAGTGTTTTATAGAGAATGGTTGTTACTAGGAGTTGACTGAAGTTTTTATAGTGGTGAGTGTTAGTGGGTTTTAGGTAAGATCAATCCTGTAAGGAGGAGATTTCACTCAATCAGCATGGTCTTTACTGAGAGGCTTGCTATCAACAGCGCATCCGAATCAATACATAGTATTAATAGGCATCCAGGGTACTAAGACTCACCTGGGATTAATGGTTATTCCCCAAAGGGAATGGGCTAACAATACTTATTAAGCTTTAACAAAATTAGTTGAAGATTAATAGGTATTGTTGATGGGAATATTCAGCAAGCTATGAATACTGTGGATAAGTAGAGTTGTTGACTGTAGCTTAAGAACAATAAATATAGGCTTGATCTATGTTGAAGTACGGGTAAAGGTATCAATATAGATGTTAACTGTGTTTAACTTGTGTCTGAATATTCTGGGGGATAATCAGTGAAATAGAGGCTGATTATATATTCCAGAATTGAGGAGACAGGAAACAGGAAGGGCACTAGATCATTCAATAATGAGGTCATGATTAAGATCAGTGCATGCATTGAATCATGATCTGTGTAGATGAACAGGTTATTTAATAATGAGGTCATTATTAAGATCAGTGCATGTATTGAATCATGATCTGTACAGACTAACAGATCTCTCAATAATGAGGTCATTATTAAGATCAGTACATAGATTGAATCTGTTCAGTATGAATATAAATTCTATTGAGTATTCAGTATATGTACATATTTTTCTTGATGGATCTTGAGACAGAAAATACTGTAAAGGGTGGATGACTTGTGGTACAAGTATTTCACGGATAAGTGAGTGAAAGATACATGGTAATTGCTTTTTGTTCATATGTGATACAGATGAATGATGTTGAATTTTAGTCATGCTCCACGCACCCGGAGAGACTGCGGAGTACGCAGATCAACCACTTAGGGTTGGAATCCTCTCTCCTTAAAAGAAAACTCCCAAAAACCCAAACTCTTCTTTTCTCATCCAACCGAGAAACTGTTACGGATCAACTTCCTCAAGACTTACCTGACGAACAATAATCACTAGAGATGGGTGATTCGCATCCGGATATCCGCGCGGATGCGGATATCCGGCTGCTTTTTCCGGCCATCTAGGCATCCGCACCCACTGGCGGGTATCCGCCAGGGGATAGCGGGTATCCGCAACGGATACCCCGCGACCATCTCTAATAATCACCGAACGTTCAAGACTATCGGAAGCTCTACTCATAATGTAACACGGAATCAACAATCCTCAATCAACTCAACCCCGTTCTGACGTCTCTTCTCTTTTTTCTTGTTGTTTATCTTTGCTCTCAATAGAACTAGTATTCTTCTGTCCTTTCTAGCTTACCTTGTGTGTGTTGAACTCGAACATATTCAATTGCTGTTTGTCTCTTTTCTTCTTCCTTTGTTCTTCTCATTTCTTTCATTCTTGCTGCTTCTTCTTTGTGGTTGTTGTCAAAAGAACTGATTTTTTCTTTTGTCTCTCTTTCTACCTCCTTTATGTCTTCAGTCTTTAATCTTCGGATTCTGTCTCCTCATCTACTACAAAAGTCCTCACTTACTTCTTGTCAACTACCTCGACGGTATGCTTTTCTCTTGAATCTTATCTTCTTCATTTCTGCTTGTCTCATTTCTCATTCTAATTGTCTTTTGCTATCTCAGTTCTGGGCTTTTGTTTCCAAGAAATAAATCCAAAATTCTTCACAATTAACAGTCGAAAGATACCTCTTTGAAACAAAAAATCAACCCAAAACTAGAATCCAGAAGGTCGATCATAGAATAATGGATGCCGTAAATCCAACCATCCTAAAAATGACCAATGAGGCAATCCCCATCCTCAATGAGGAAAATTTTTCTAGCTGGCGAACTTGCATCTCTGCCCTCTTCAAACTAGGCGGAGTTAAGGATCAAATGATCAAAGGCGAGCCAGCACTCAAGGACAACGATAATACCATGCTATGTGCTATCATCATTGCTAAGGTATCTCCATCGACCCATAGCAACGTAGTGAATGCAACCAACAAGGTCGACGCTCAGCTCCTTTGGAAAGCTATCCTTAAACGGTTCATCTCTTCCAAACCGTCCAACTGAGCCCGTGTGTACAACGCCTTCGCTAACATTACGTTTGATGTCAGCAACATAGAAAAATTTATCACCGAAGTAAGAAGCTCCATCGTAAAAATGGAAGATGTCGGAATCAAACTTCCAGAAGATATCATTACCTACGATCTTCTCAGACGACTCCCTCACAGTCTGGACAACATCAAACAGAGTATTACTCACTGTAAAAACGGCGAGGACATTAAGCCGGAATCTCTTCTGGATCACTTAGAGATCCACCTCAACAAGCTCAAAGTGTCAACAGCCAGCAAGGACAAATTGATCACCGCTACCATGTTTACCAAGGAAGACACGCGCTGCATCCCCGGGCAACACAATCCCTACGCCAAGTCACACCCTAAGGACAAATGCTGGAAGGTGTACCCTGAAAAGCGCGAAGCTTACTTGAAGAAGAAGGAACAATCTCAAGTCAGCTCATTCTCTGCCTTCTCGTTCAACCATCCCTCAATTTTTATTCTCGATTCAGGACCAACGTCCCACATGATATCTGATTGAAGACTCTTCACTCATCTAGACGAAACCGAAAGCGGCATGATCAATACAAGCTGCGGAATGAGCACCTTAGCCATCAAGGGAAAAGGAACTGTTGAACTCTGCTTCAAACAAAAACTTGTCATTCTTCATAATGTCTTACTTGTTCCAAAGATTACTGTCAATGTGCTCTCTTTACGCCACCTTCTTCTAGAGCAATGCATTATCAACTTTTCTATTAATCACTTCACTGTTCTCAAGAATAACGAGATATACCTTGAGGGACGTTACCAACACAATTTGCCTGTCCTCGAGTTGTTTCCTCCGATTCAACACTCTCATCTAAGCTCTGCTGAAATGTTGCACAAATCTCTGGGGCACGTCAGTTATTGAAGAATCAGACAGAAACTAGGAATACCCATCAAGGCTCCTGAAGTGTGCAAATCCTGTGCCGTCGCTAAAGTCACTAAGGCATCATTCAAGCACAGGTCGTCAACAGCATCCAAACCACTGGAAGAGCTGCACTTGGATCTAATCGGTCCTCTAGCTTTGATGTCTCACAAAAAACACAAGTACATTCTCACCATTGTGGATGCAAACACTCGTTTTGTTGCTGCCATTCCAATGGTCTCCAAAGCCGACACCTTCAAGGCACTCACCCACGCCATCGACGTGGAGGCAAAGAGACTTGGTCACTACCCCTCGATCTTACACTCAGACAGAGGTACTGAATTCACCAACTCAGATCTGCAAGAGTACTGTCTCAGTCACGTGATCAAGCAGCGATTCTTGGATGCATACACCCCACAACAAAACGGTCTAGCCGAGAGGTTCAATCGAACCATCTTGGAATCGCTTCGAACAATAATTCTAGATTCTGGGCTCAGTCCAACTCCGTGGAATGAGATTCTCAGCACATGCACCCTTACTCTGAACCAGATCCCTACCCATCGCAGCAAGAAATCATCCTAAAAACTTTTCAAAATGAGCTCTATACCACTCAATTTCTTCAAGCCATTGGGCAATCCCTTGGTCGTCGTATCTCAGGATAAGAAGTCGAATCTGGAACCGAGGGGTGACTTCGTTAAACTTATTGGATTCAATGTTGATCTCAAATCGTATAGGATTCAACTATCAGACGGAAAGATCATAGACACAAAAAACATCCAATTCCTAGATTTTGACACATCCGTTCCGGTAACTACTGATCTCAGCAAACTGATTGAAGAACAGCGACAAGAAAAGGAAGCGAAGCCTGTGCAAACTCTTGAAACAAAAAATGATGTAGAGAAGGAGGAAGGAACAGTCATCAAGGAAGAAGAGGAGGATGAGAACTCTGACAGTGCCAACGATCACTTTCTGTCTCCCGACTCTGGCTCGTCAGAAGATGAAGTCGAGGTTGCTGAATCTCTGATGCCTGTTGCTGATGCACCAGTTGGTAGAATCCTACGTGACCAAACTCTTCAAGTCAAACCAGTGAAATACACTCATTTCTCCGAATATACTTGTTTCTCAGAGGACCCAAGATCTTTCAGAAGGGCCGTTTCAGGATTGGATTCCAAGCAATGGAAGAAAGCCATCGGCGATGCACTAGACAACATAGAGAATCATGACGCTTGGCTTGATCAATACGAGGAGCCGGAAAAATCTCTCGACACCACCTGGGTGTTCAAGACAAAGCCCGCCACTACCTCATCTGAAGAGAAGAAGAAGGCTTGGCTGTGTATACAGGGTTTTCTGCAAACCTACGGCGAGGACTTCTTTGAAACATTCGCTCCAACCGGCAAATTCCCATCTCTCCTGACTCTTCTGGTGCTGGCAATTGATCTCAAAATGTCAATCAAGCAGTTCGATGTCAAGAGTGCATTTCTTTTTGCACCACTTGATGAGGAAATCTACATCAAGACTCCAGAGGGCTCCCATCGATCTGCTCCCTACCTGAAACTGGTGAAGTCTCTGTATGGTTTGAAACACGCTCCCAAGAACTGGTACGACACTCTGACCAAGTGGTTTCTAGAAATTGACTACAATCCCTCGGTATCAGATGCCTGTCTTTTCATCCACAAGAACAGGGACTCCTTTATATTCTTCCACGTTGATGATCTAGTGGTTGTCGGAAAGGTTGAAGTTTTCGAAAAATTGTTTCTGTTGTGTTTCCCCAATTCGTCTGCTCATGCGCCAGACACACTACTAGGCATGAATCTCAATGTACTGTCCAATTCTATTGAACTGTCACAACCGGCACTCATCAACAAGGGACTCGAGATCTTGAACTTGCAAGACTGCAGATCAGTAAAGACTCCACTCACTCCAGCCGTTCAGTTGCATACCGCGACCGATGACGATCACACTCAATTCCTGAAGCTGAACATCAATTACAGATCTTACACCGGCATGGTAAATTACCTTGCTTGCCGGACGAGACCGGATCTTGCCTCTGCTGTTTCCATGCTCTCACAGTTCAATCAGCGGCCCGGACTCAGTCACTGGAAGCAGGTGGTACATTGCTGGAATTACTTGAAAGGAACACTCAATTTTGGACTTATCTTAAAACCCAATCCCGACAAACTCATAGATCATATCAATTTCTTCACCGATGCTATGTGGGCGGAAGACCAGGAATCACGGATCTCACGCAGTGGATCTTCAGCTTTCTGGAAATCATGTCCAATACTCTGGAACAGCAAAAAGCAAAAGAACATCACCATGTTTTTGTCAGCTTGCTACTATGGCAGAGACAACCTGGCATAGCAAATAAAATAATAAATTACATAAAAAATCTAAGTATAAAGTAAAAATATTACATAAGTAAAAGAAACAATAGTACTTATGTAAATAAGATAAAAAATACATAAAAATAAATAAATAACTTAAAAAGTATAAGCAAAACCTTAAATATTATTGCAGATTCTGAATCAGCATACAATTTAACCTAGGGTACCTCAGCCAAAGGTACCCCAAATTCTAACTCCTTCACCTTGTAATACATGCAGGAATAATTAACAGGTACCCCCAGATCACGGGTACTGTGACTCTTCTGCATAATGCATAATGCACATACTCCAAATTCAGTCTCAGAATTGGAGTATTGTACACGGTTTAGAAGATAGAGCAGTGTGGAGTCCTGTCTCCAAGCCCATGTGCCACGTAGTCATGCTGCGCACCAGTATCCAAGGATTGGGCCACAAAAGCCCCAGAATCCCCATTGCACGTGGCAACAAAGCCCCCACACGTGTAATAAGAATGTGAACAAGCTAGAATATCCATGAAAATACTACAGTAACCATATTCCAGTGGGTAACACGTGTAGCAAGCCTCAGAAGACACCTCTGGAGTATTCTGTGGCCCATTTCCAAGGAACCTGCTCCACGTAACAGAGTAGCCCCTATCCACAGGTTCCCATGGGACATTCTTGGCTGTAATAATTTCGTGAATGACCCCTTGGAGCTTCTGGAACATTATCCCCAAGGTTCCAGCCCTGGTTACATCACCATGTGGGCCAAAATGGGCCCAAAAGCGCCCCCAAGTCCTACTAAGCTCCCCTGAGCAACCCCTGAGGCCTTCCACAGGTATTTAAAGGGCCTTCTGACCGCCCAAATAATGATCCCCCAGCTTTACAATACCTTATAGAAATTTACTTACCATTTACAAGTCCCCTACACTTGTAATTAGCCTAGTTACTACTATAATTGCTGTTATTAAAGCCTCAAGAACCCTCAAGAAACTCCCCAGTTATCACCCAGCACCCAAAATCAACCTTTCTGAGCGCTCCCAACTGTCCAGTTTCTACTAAGAAAATCCTCAAGACCCCTTTGGATTATTACTAGTGAGTAATAACCCTTTCTTGAAGATTTTCCCCTAAAAAATTATCTCCTGGGATTTAAACCACACCTGCTACAGGCCCCAGTGTATCAGGTACCTAAATCCTCTGCTTTTTGCACGATACCTTAGAGGGATTAAACCACCCCTGATTTATCAGGCCCCTCTGGTTTAATTTATATTAATTTTATTAATATAAATTGGCCACTTTTTGGATTTAATCCATAAATTCCACGTAATTCTTTTGAATTACCTGTACCAGTTCTATCCCAGAGTTTTTGCCATAAAAACTCTTACTTTTTGCACCTTGTGTAGCTAGAGGACACGTGTCTTGGCATCACATAGGCTGACAATTGGGGGTCTGGCCGGGAAGTTTTTATTAAAAATAACCTTTTTAATAAAATAAATACCTTGGATTTATTCTTATTTTTTCTCACAAAAATTAATTAAAAGACCAATAAAAATACATATCCATTTTTTCACGGTCATCTCTTTCATTACCTTAAAAAAAAAAAGAATAAAAAGAAAAATATATATATATATACCTATACAATTTTTCACAAAGAAAAAACCAAAACCCTTATAAAAAATTTACATCTCATTTTTTTACCGCTTCATCTCTTAAAATTGTATCCTCGAACAAAAAAATCCCTAAAAATAAATTACCCTTCTTTTTTTTTGTTTGTTCTTTTTCTAGTGAACTTGCAAGAGAACGCCGAATTGATCCAGCGTTACCTTGTTATCCTTAGATTACGGAAAGAAGAATCTGACCGCAGTTATATTCCTACGCCGTGGGAAAAGTTATCCGAAGAAGAGCAACTCCTTCTCGCAACGTATCACGCTCACATCTACGAAGAAAAGAATCTCGAAGAACAAATCAAGTTCCGTTGCTTCCTCCGAGAGATCAGAGCAAAGAATCAGCAACTCAAAAGAAAAAAATATCTAGAGAAAAGTCAGTCTAGAATCAATCTTTTCGTTTCTTTTAAAAAATTTTTTTTGCACCAGAATTCTGACGAGATACTCCTCTTTACTTTCTGAAGTGTCGAACTTTGAGACCGGTGTCATCAGGCAAGAAAGAGCCAGCCCTACTCCATCAATCGATACTGATAACGGTTCAGATAGCAGAACTTCTGAACGTTAGTACTGAAAATCTTGTTGTTATTGATTCAAATAAGTATTAGCCAAATCCAACTGATTAATAATGACCAAATCGACCAGATCCAATCACCCAGAACTACGAGGGCCACTCCCAGCTCCAACGAGATCTAGAGGCGGCAAAAGAACTTCGATCTCGAGTAGAAAACTTGAAAATGACGACTCTAACCCGCAAGGAGCCGACAACTTCTCAAGACAAAGAGACTACGAGAGGCGAGCTGCCTCAGAATATGGAGAAGACTTCGGATATGGAGATCGACGAGATAGACCCAGAATGCTCGGAAGCTACCCCGATACGCCCTTCCACTCCGGAGATCAAGGTCTTGTCGAAAGAAGACCAAGTCAAACTCCGGGTGAAAGAGCACGTAAAGCTCTGGAAGCAATGTCTGGTCGCCTCCCGGGAAGGACCGACCGCAAGGCTACGAGCCTTGCTGACTACCGCTCAGGAGAGTCAGAAAACTCTTCAGAAACTCATCGACAACGAAGAGATCGAGAGTTATGTCAAGGGTTGGAACCCGTGGGAAGAAAAAAAGATACATTTTCCTTCTCCTCCCAAAAAGAATCTAATGAAGTTCAAGAGGAACGAGCCAGGCAAGAAGCAAAGCTCAAGCTCGACAAATTTCTCCGATCCCGCCAAATGGAAGAAGGTGACGGATCTCCTTCAAATGGCTTCCGGACTGTACCAGAACATTTAAACAATCCTAAAGTAGCTATCTCTATTCTAGACTCGTTAGAAACCCTCAACTTCAATATCTCCACTCTTGATGCTAATAGCGAAAGCAATTTCGCTAGCCTTGTACATAGTCTAGAATCCTCCTCCTCTAAATTAAAAGAAAATTTAGACGGAGTAAGCTTCAAAATTATCAAACATCTTGATCGTCCGCTACCTATAGAGTTGACTCCCAAACATAGCGAACAGATTACTGTTATTCAAAAAGACGTTGAGTACCTCCGAGAAACTTTAAGAGACACCAAAGAAATGGTTAATGAAATAGTACAGTTTGCTCGAAACTCGGCAGCGCAGAGTACTGCTCACGCCGATTATATCTTGTCTTCCATCAGACAAGACGCCATAGTTGAGAACGCTAAGTTTGAGAGAAAAACCAGTGAAATAAAAAACCTAATACTTCTGAAAAGTACCGAAACTAACGGTAACATAGAGCTTTTAAACAAAGTTGTACTAGAAAAGTTCCAATCGATCAAAGATGAGCTATCTGGTTTGAATATCAAAGGACCCGAAGTCTCTCATAAATCAGATCACATCCTACAGAGTACCGTTGAGAGTAAAAAAGAAGAAAGAGACCGTATTCTTCCTCAGCGCCATGCGAGCAGAGATTTACCTCCCCATCTTGTGGTAAACAACCATCTCCAAGACAGTTCTGCAAGCGTAGAGGAACCGAAGTACAATAATCCCTTTATGCAATCCTATAAATTAAACAACTGTTCCCCTGATCCTAGAGCACAAAGAAACTCGAATGAAGAAGCTGATTTCATAAGAAATTCTACTCCTTATACCGCGGCTGAACTAGCTAATCTAAATAAATACATGCCTCCAGTGAAGGACTGGCCAGAATTTGACGGAAAAGATGAATATGACGACATCAGCTTCATCAAGTACATTGATTATTTATTGAGGACTTATAAAGCGCCAGATGACATAATCACTTCAAAGCTCCCCAGGCTGATGAAAGGAATAGCAGGAGATTGGTTTGTTACCAAAAGCCAATCTGTAGGATTACAAAGTTGGGCAACCTGGAAAGAATTAATTATTGCCAGATTCAGTACCAGAGTATGGAAAACAGCCAAAAGGATAGCCTTTGAGGGGGATTATTTTGATCCCATCAAACATTCTGTAGGAGAGTGGTGCTTACTCCAAAAGAAAAGGATTGAATGTATTTACACTAATCCCACGGCAGAAGAGATTAATGACAGATTATTAACTCAGTGCAAAGGAACCATAGAGCACTTAGTCAGATGCAGACTAAAAGATATGGATGTTGATCTAACTGAATTTGTAGGAGTACTAGAAGAAGTGGTTATTATGAACAACTTGAATAGAAAATACGTCAGAAATAATGTACCGGAAAAAAGAGAATTCATCAAACCTGATAATGTCAAAGAAAAGACTCCCGCAGCTGAAGCCCCCACAAGGAAAGTTAGCGTACCTGAGTGTTATAATTGTGGAGAAAAAGGCCACAAAAGACCTGAGTGCCCTAATCCCCGTAAAAAGATTAATAATGTGGAGGTATATGAAGAGACTGACAGTGAATATGACTCTGGATCTCAATTTGATGTCATAACCACTGAACCAGGAGAAGAGGAGTCTCATAGAATTGTGGTAATCCAAGCTGATATTGGTGATGAATTACATATCAATACCATCCAAGGGGATTCTAATTTACCACAAAAATGGGATTCTTCCATGAAAATTGGTCATGTTTCTGATGCTAAATTGCTCACTAATAAACCAGAAAAAGGAATGAGTTACACTATGGGAAAAACTAGTTACACCTCTGTTTTATTTGAAGATAAATCAGTAAAAGCTTTATTAGATATTGGAGCCTTTTGCTCGTGTACCAGTAGCAACTTCTTAGATGAAATACATCCAGAATGGAAAATTAATTTGCTGCCTGTCCCCAAAGCAAAATTTAGTAGTTGTAATTCTTCAATGAAACCCTTAGGAATTGTAGTAATGCCATTAATCTTTCCGCACTCCAAAGGATCATTAAGACTGTCCATAGAATTTGTAGTTCTCCAAGATGCCATTTGTGATTATTTGATCCTAGGAAATGACACTTTTTGCATGTATGGAATTGACATATTTCAAAGTAAAAACAGATTCTATACTATTGGGGGAGATTGGAAAAGGAAATTTCAAATTTGCAATGTGAATATCAAACTCCCTGATATACCAGATGAAATGACAGAAGAAATGATGTCCTTCAAAGCTGAATATCTGTCTCAAGCAGCTGTTAGTGATATTCTAGATGAGCAACAGAAATTAGATGTGCTTAAAACTTGCTTTGTGAATAAAGAATCCTTTTGTACTACTGAAGAACCTATTGGTAACATAAAAGGGCATGACATGAAGTTGGAATTAACTGTTAAAGAACCTTATCCTCCCATCTTGAGAAGACCCCCTTATCCTTCCAGTCCTAAATCAAGAGAAGCTTTAGAAACTCACATTAAAGAGCTAATGGAATTAGGCGTGCTGAGAAAGGTTGGACACAATGAACAAGTAGAAATTACTACCCCAGTAATCATTGCTTGGCATAATGAGAAGTCAAGAATGGTTGGGGATTTCAGGGCTCTGAATAATTACACTAGACCTGATTATTACCCAATCCCACGTATTGATCACTCCTTGCATAATTTATCCAAAGCCAAATACATTACAACTATGGATGTTCTTAAAGGTTTTCATCAAATACCCATTGATCCTGACAGCAGACAATTTTTGAGAATAATTTGTCATTTGGGAATATATGAATATTTGAGAATGCCATTTGGAATCAAAAATGCCCCTTCCCATTTTCAGAGAATGATGGACTCAATTTTTGGTGCATTTATCAGACAAGACTGGATGATGGTCTACATAGATGATATAATTATATATTCAAATGATTGGGAAACCCACTTAGAGAAAATAAATCTAGTGCTGAGTACCGCCATCAAAACTGGTTTGAAAATGTCCATTAAAAAATGCAACTTTGGTTATGGAGAACTCAAAGCTCTAGGTAGGATAGTATCTGGCCTAACCTTAGCTGTAGATCAAAACAAAGTGGCTGCTGTGATGAACAAGGCTCTTCCTCATAACTTGAAAGAAATGATGTCATTTTTAGGCTTTTGTAGTTATTACAGGCAACATATCCCTCAATTTGCCATAGTGAGTAAGAATCTATACGCACTATGCAAAGATGACACCATTTATGAGATGACCTGGGAAAGAGTAAAAAATTATGAAGAATTGAAAAGGTTACTCACTTCTGCACCAGTCCTAGCCCAACCTGATTATGACAAGCCATTTATACTTTATATTGATGCTTGTTTAGATGGGCTTGGAGCTGCTCTTCATCAAGAATTTATTGTAGATGACAAACCCATGGAAAAACCAGTTCTTTTCATATCCAGACAAATTAAGGAATCTGAGAGGAAATATGGAGCCAGCCAAATGGAATGCTTAGCATTGGTATGGGCTCTAGATAAATTACATTACTACTTAGAAGGCTCTAACTTTGTAGTTATCACTGATTGTACCGCAGTTAAAACTCTAATGAATATGAAAACTCCCAACAGACACATGTTAAGATGGCAAATTGCTATTCAGCAGTATAGAGGGCATATGACTATAATCCATAAAGCTGGCAAGAAACACATGAATGCTGATGGATTAAGTAGATGGGCACTCCCTAATACCCCTGATAACCCTGCATATGATCCTGAGGACGAAGACATATTTCCTATTTTGGGAATTCACGTATGTGATATGGAAAATGCTTTTTATGAATTAGTTCAGAGAAGTTATGACCAAAATAGTGAATTACTAAAATTGGTAGAAATATTGCGAAATGACAGTAGTCCCCCAGAACTAGCAGCTAGTTTACCACCTGTTCTGTCCAAACATTATAAATTAGGCAAATTCACGTTATTTGATGGTTTGTTGTATTACAGGCACAAACACTCAAGTGTACTTGTCTTATGTGATGAAGGACAAATAAAAAATATTCTACAGGAATGTCATGATAATGTAAATTGTGGCCACTTTTCAGAAGAAAGAACATTAGAAAGAGTTAAACAAACTGCCTGGTGGATTGACTGGAAAACACAAGTACATGAGTACATTAAGTCATGTGACACCTGTCAGAAAGCAAACAAACAGACAGGCAAGAGATTTGGCTTACTTCAGAAAATTGCTGAACCCACGGACAAATGGGAAATCATTAACATGGACTTTGTTACCGGATTACCCCCTGGAGGATCCTACTCCTACAACTCAGTACTAGTCATAGTTGATAGATTTTCCAAGAGGGCAAAATTTATTCCTAATCATAAAGATGACACAGCAATGGAAGTAGCTATGTTATTCTGGAATAGACTAATGGCTGACGTAGGCATTCCCAAAATAATCATTAGTGACAGAGACCCCAAATTCACGTCTGAATTCTGGAGAAACTTACATGATATGTTAGGCACTAAATTAGCTTTCTCCACAGCTTACCACCCACAGACTGATGGCTTAGCTGAAAGGATGATACAAACCCTAGAGGACATGCTCAGGAGATTCTGTTCATTTGGATTTGAGTTCAAAAATCATGATGGATATACTCATGACTGGGTGAGCCTACTCCCTGCCTTGGAAATAGCTTATAATAGTAGCATACACTCCTCTACCAAAGAAGCTCCTTATATACTTGAAAGAGGATGGATCCCGCGCATGCCCAAAGACACCATCAATGACAAATTACCTCATGTACACCCCACAGCATTAGACTTCAAGAAAATGTTTGATTCCACAAATGTACATGCCAAGAAATGTGTTGAAGATGCTGTAGAGTATAACAAGAATAGGTGGGATAAAAGCCATAAAGAACCTGAATTCAAAATTGGGGATAAAGTACTTCTGTCCACAGTGAATTTCAACAACCTTGGCGGAAACAAGAAACTCAAACCTTCTTTTGTTGGTCCTTTTACTATT